AATTTTTTTTTTTTTTTTTTTTCACGTCCGATACTGATACATGTTGTAACTTATAACTATTCATTCCTCACTTATTCCATTCTATTATTGCTTTTTATATATTTTTTAAAGACTTTCCTTGACTCTGATGATTATAACGTATCATTCACTTATATTACATATCTACTTGTAACAGTATTAGAAATTCCATATTAGTTGGATAAGCTTAGACTCAAATAAGAGGTGGTTATACTTAAAAATTGTTGCCAATTCGGAAATTTGGCAGTGGAAGAAATTAGTTTTTATTCGGTTTTCATAGGTGCAACAAATTTTATATTCTGACACCTATAGGTGTCGTCGAAATGCCGTATTTATAATTACGGCATTACGGCAAAATGGGAATTTGGCCTTAAAATATAAAGGTCGGCATTCAAAAATAATTACGGCATAATTGTGGTAGAATGGTATTACGGTATAAGCTTCATATGCCGTAATTAATTTCGACGACACCTATACTGACACCTGCATTATGGTATCTTAATTAATATGTAATGAGATATTGAGATTTTTGTTTTGACGAGTTGGATTACATTGCTAGTTTTTTTGGAATCCGATTCAAACTCAATCTTTTATAAAAACAAATTGAAATTAAAAGAACAACTGTACAGAAAAGGCAGAAAGTTAGAAATTTCTGTATCAATTGTGGATGTGAAGACTGGCGATTTGGCGAATAATCCGCTTAGTGTCACTCAGGCTGCCATGACCTCCGTGCAGAGAAATGTAGTTGACGTTCTCCCAAATAACCTTGGGGATTCCAAAGAATTGCTGACTCACGTAGATGCACGAGAGATTTCTGTACCGGCCGTGTGTGAAGTAACCGGCTACCTTATCTTGGATTTTCTTTGGCGTTTACCAGATCTTCGAAGATCACTTCACTACTATACTATAGTGATGGAAATTGTGTAGTGATTTCTGATAATTATATTGTGAAAAGCTTTAAAAGCAGGCGGAAGTTGGCTAACAAAGGAACGCCAGAAATTTGAAAATTTTACCGAAGAAAAATTTCAAAGTTTTTACCAATCAGCTGCAATAAATATCGAAGTTATAAATGGTATGTGTTTAGTTTTATTTAGTTATATTTCATTAAAATTCGATGAAGTTTATGAATTTTATGATCAATATACAGTTTTTCATGAAAATCAAGATGCTGTTTCAATTTTTGTAAATGGAAATCTAACAAGTCTAACCGGATACAAAAGTATGTTATTTGATGACAAATTCTACTGGATTTAATAACTCTTCATATTGATTTTTTTTTTTTAAATTGGATTTTCTTAGCCGATGTAATTCAAGACTTTTAAGAAAATTTTGAATCAAAAAAATTTTCAGAACCACTCTCTAATAATATCGGGGAAAAAAAATTTCTAATGCTTGAAAATAAGTGTTTACACAAGAGGAAATTTTGCTTCACAATAAAATTGGAACACAAGGATTTAATACATAAGAACCTATCAGTTAATTCCGGCCGGAATTATGTTTTGTCACTGTTTCGTCAAATTGTCACGTGGACACGCAAAAAATTTTTCTGCCCGGAAAGAATTACAAAGGTTGCGAACACACCATGTTCACTAGAACCTAAGATTAGTAAGTATTCTATTTTATAATGAAATTATTTAATGCTACATCACAATGATTATCCACAATTTTTTTGTGGAAAGAGGAATAGAAAATGGATCATCTTTTTTTGCTTTAAATTTGCATAAGATCCATTTTATGATATTTATAGGCAAGATATGAGTAATGTAGTTTTATATCTAATAGAACTTTTTTTCATTAAAAACTAGCATTGTTTTATTTATTTTTTCTTTTTTTCAAAAAAAAAAAAGGGCCAATATTTTTGCTAATTAAAATTTCTCTACTACATTCAACTCTTTTTTATTAGATATAGACTTAGACTGAGGCAATAACAAGGGAAAACCCTGTAAGTTATTACCGTATAAAGATGGTAAGCATAAGCCCAACCCCGGAGTCGCCCTACCTGTTATTAAAAATTCCGAGGCGTCGTCTGAATTCTTTTATAGGTCTTTGGCCAATGTTTCACTATTTTTATTTTTATTTTTATTTTTACTTATGAAAGGCAGATACATCTGTAAGATGCGAAAACAGTATGAATTTATAAAAGACATATGTGAATATAGGTCTATACTAAATGTACAAAATCTAACCGGCGGACCCGCCCTTCGTTAGAACGAGCTGACTAATGGAACATAGTCGCCATAGCAGTGAACGAACAGAGGGAAATTAAAAGCTAAAGTAAAAATAAGGGAGATTAAAAGAAGAAAGAGCCAAGGAAAGGGAGGTTGCGCGAATGTTTACTACAGTCGACTCTAACGAATCAGCCAATTAAATTCAAGGAGAATTAAAAGAAGGAAAGGGAAGTTGCGCGAATGTTTACTACAGTCGACTCTAACGAATCAGCCAATTAAATTCAAGGGGAATTAAAAGAAGAAAGAGCTAAGGAAAGGGAGGTTGCGCGAATGTTTACTACCTGTCTCTTATACACATCTAGATGTGTATAAGAGACAGNAAAGGGAAGTTGCTCGAATGTTTACTACAGTCGACTCTAACGAATCAGCCAATTAAATTCAAGGGGAATTAAAAGAAGAAAGAGCTAAGGAAAGGGAGGTTGCGCGAATGTTTACTACAGTCGACTCTAACGAATCAGCCAATTAAATTCAAGGAGAATTAAAAGAAGGAAAGGGAGGTTGCGCGAATGTTTACTACAGTCGACTCTAACGAATCAGCCAATTAAATTCAAGGAGAATTAAAAGAAGGAAAGGGAAGTTGCTCGAATGTTTACTACAGTCGACTCTAACGAATCAGCCAATTAAATTCAAGGGGAATTAAAAGAAGAAAGAGCTAAGGAAAGGGAGGTTGCGCGAATGTTTACTACAGTCGACTCTAACGAATCAGCCAATTAAATTCAAGGGGAATTAAAAGAAGGAAAGGGAGGTTGCGCGAATGTTTACTACAGTCGACTCTAACGAATCAGCCAATTAAATTCAAGGGGAATTTAAAGAAGAAAGAGCCAAAGAAAGGGAGGTTGCCCGAATGTTTACTACAGTCGACTCTCGACTTTATAACAAAATTTTCTCAACACGTGACATTATACCAATCAATATCTCTTGTTATAACGAATCAGCCAATTAAATTCAAGAGAATTAAAAGAAGAAAGAGCCAAGGAAAGGGAGGTTGCCCGAATGTTTACTACAGTCGACTCTCGACTTTATAACGAATTTTCCCAACAAGTGACATTATATCAATCAAATAAATTCTTTTAATTCTTCGCTATAATCTTATAGCGAATTTGAGATGAAAACCGGAGGGTTCTTCATATCGAGAGCTGACTGTATTACGTTAGTATCACATTTACTTGAAGAATCACGAAAATTTTTATTATTAGACAAATTTAAATATGGCAACCATCAAAAAAACAATACGATAAATTACAAAAAGCAAATTTATTCAGATATTGGAAATTACTAAATATTAAAGGGAGGATAAAGGGAGGAAGTTGAAAATGTTGTATGATATTTTGATTATATATCATATGACCTTTCATTAATTTTAAGATAATCAATTCCTGGTTTAAAAATTTATAATGTGAACAACCTAGCAATAAAAAGATGTGAACACATTCATGCAATAAATAATATGAAAGAAATCGTTTAAATACAGTACTTGCAGCTTCTGCATAGTAATCTATAACATAATAAAATGAAAGAATCATTAGAAGTTCCTCCAACTTCGCGAGATTAAGAAATACCAAATATCTCAAAAAAAATTTAGTGCCGTATTATTCAAATAGAGCGTTTATGTTTAGCAATTTATTACCAAACCCTCCATTATTTATGTTAATGATGAAAAAAGTAATAAAGGCATTTTACATATTTCGATTTTAGATACTTTATTTTGCCTAATAGATTGTGACCCTCAATTTAATTAATTGACCTCAATTAAGAGGTATTTAAACATAAAAAAAAAAAGAATAAATATTTTGGTATTTTAATATGTACTATTAAATTAAATGATATATTATGTCTGTCTCTTATACACATCTAGATGTGTATAAGAGACAGATGTTAAATACAGTAGCAAATGTTTGACGATGATAATAAGGATGATTACTAGTAAACTGAATCTTGACTGTTTTCATGATTTTATTTTATAATTGTCTCTTATTTGAAGTTTTGTTTTTTTTTGTCTTTATTATTGTTTGTTTAACGTACCTCACCCACTCTATTTTTTAAAAAATCTAAATTTTTTGATAAACATATAATAACAATATATGTTTAAAATTTAACTCTAAATTTAAATTACGGTTTTCTGGATTTTTCTGACATTTCCCGAATTTTCCCAAAATTTCCAAAGTTTATTTTCATTTAATTTGTTTAATGAAAACCTTTCAAACTTTTTCAAACAATCAAGTTGGAACGGCCGTAAGATTGTTTCATGTACAGTACACACGGTCATACATAATCAGTATAACCATGAGTCATCTAGTGGGAAAAAAAGAATTCCAATTTAATAATGATTTTAGTAGTGATCTAAATATCTATTTCGCACGCGTAAAGTTTAAAATCATTTTTCATTCATCCGGAGTTATCCCTTTTCCCCCAACTTTTCTGTTCTCCTTACCTAATTGATATGTGAGTATACTATAATATACATATATGCAATCTGGGATGCATTATAGTTTATTAAATCAAATAAATGAATGTAACCCTTTTTTTTATATTCGTTGTTGTGAAAATTTTCCGATAAAATTTGTTGTGGCTTGCTGCCCACAAATCTAGAAACGAATATCTGCAAACCGTGGTCAAATGTTAAAAAAAAACTGGCAAGAGTCGTACGATGCAAACAATATAAAAAATTTTATTGGCATAAGAAAAGGTATTGTTTGCTAAAATAATCCTTATTAAAAAAAAAAAATTATCTGATAAATGATGAAAAACTCCAACATATGATCAATTTTTTAGCCTTACAATATTGTATAACAAATAGTTAATGTAATCATAAACAAAAATAATTTCAAATCTGCGATTATCCAATACTAATTTAGAAACAAATCTTTTCGTGATAGCAAAACCTCCGTCATTCTATCACTTCTGCTACTACTTGGAGCACATCGTTACTCTAGCTTTAATAATATATAAATGGCAAAAAGGCAAAAATTTAATAGGCGTTCCAGTAATTATGTGTTCTTACAATATGTAACTCAATGAATTCATTATTTTCTAAATGATTAGTTTAAATATAGTAATGATTTTTTTTTAAAACAATATATAAATACAAAAATTATTTTATATTCAATAAATTGACAAGATAATAAACAAATATTTCGATTTCATATTTTACGAAAAATTTCAAACCATGAAAAATTTTAATTTTATCTTAATTCTTGCTCTTAGCATTTTGATATTCGGTAATTTCTCCTCCGCTATTAATCGTTTAAAATGGAAAAGAGCCGTTTGCACTGACATTACTCAAAAAAATTGCGGTAATAGTTAATTTTTATTTGTTGCAGTGACTATTGTTACTAACTCGTTGTTTAATAGGTGGTACTTGTTGTGGTCCAGCCGAATCTTGCTGTGGTAGTACTCTTTGTTGTGGTCCAGCCGATTCTTGCTGTGGTGGTACTCTTTGTTGTGGTCCAGCCGATTCTTGCTGTGGTGGTACTCTTTGCTGTGGTCCGACCGAAACGTGCTGCGGTAGTACCTGCTGTTCACTGTTTCAAACGTGTAGTACTGGTAATATATGTCAATGAGTTTATTTTATTGGCATAGCAAATGGTAAATTTACGATATTATTATCGCAGTACATACTTCATAATCTCTGATTAATTTTTTAGTCAAAAATAATAATGTATTTATTAAAGGCATTCAAGTTGTGCCTGACATTAATTTATGTTTTCACATAATCTTTTTTTAATAGCCAAGCCTCCGTCATTTCCATCATTTCTTGTTATTCTCCCAAATTTTCAAAATAGCCATCTAATACCATCGAACACATGGGATATGTAATAATATAATAGAACCATTGTAATGATATTTATAGCATACCAGATACTATTTTTAGTATTGATTAGTGCAGCATAACGATTATCTTTTAATAAGTCGTTCATTACAATATTTGAGATTATCAATTGTTTCACGCTATCTTCTATATAAAGATAAATTTAAAATTAATTTTAGTGTTCCAGAAGTAATTATGAAAATTCATCCTTATCGCATCACATGTTCATCCTATATCGTACAAAAATAAACAAATATAAGACCTCAATGAATTGAATGAATGATTCAAAAATAGTAATGAATTTAAACGCATTAAAATCAAAATATATCGACTATTGTAGAATATTTACTGATAAAATAAATGAATATTTTTTAATTTCAAAATTTTTCAAAATCATGAAAAATTCTAATTCTATCTTAATTCTTGTTCTTGGCGTTTTGATAATTGGTAATTTCTCCTCTGCTGCTAATAATCGTTTAAAATGGAGAAGAGCCGTTTGCGATGGATTTACTCAAAATTGTGGTAATAGTTGTTCAGTAATTTTTATATGTTGCAGTAACTTTTGTTATAATAATGATGCTAAATTGTTGTTTAATAGGTACCATTTGTTGTGGTATGGGCCAAACTTGTTGCGATACTACTTGTTGTGGTCCAACAGAAGAATGCTGTGGCAGCGTTTGCTGTGGTTCGACCGAAACTTGCTGCGGCGGCATATGCTGTTCAATGTTCCAAGAGTGCGGTCCTAAATTTATATGTCAATGAAAGTTTTTTATTAGATTTGAAACGAAATCTGTGATGAATATATTATGTGTATTATGTATGCAATACAAATTGAATTAATATATCGTAGTAATGAATTGCCGTATTTCATAAATACGTGTGTAATTTTTAATCAAAAGTGAATGTGTTTAGAAATAAAGAAATATTTTTTTATGGGGTTTTTATCACTATGATAAATCGCGTCAGGTAATTTCGAAACTTGCTATGGTAATCAATGCTGTTCAGGCATATAAACCCGCGGTCCTACAATCCGTGTTAAAATGCAGTTTATTATTTTAATTATAGGTATAATGGCGGAATATTGTGGTTTAAATTACAGTATATGATTTTACACAACTAATAAATTTTCGTTTTTTAAATTCATCACGATTAGTAGTATTACAGAAGTTGAATCAGTATGTGTTTTATGATGATATAGTAATGTACTGTGAGAGCATATCGGAAAAATAAAAATAAGCCTAATACTACACTTTTAAAATTTTCGTCCTTTACAGACTCTTAGTATCAATCAATGGTCAAATATAGTATTAAATCTATTATTTTTCTATAACTCTGATTCTTTTTTGACATTTTAATTCCAATTTCGGCAGGAATACTCTAAATTATTATCTCTTTATGTACTTTATGTATAGCTTGAAATAATAAAAAACACATTCCAGAACTACTTCCACTACGGAAATAAACAGAAAATAAACAACTGAATTTGAAAGATTTAAAGGAACTTTATATTGGAGAAACTTTTAGTGTTTTAACAATTTGGTATAGTAACTAACTGTACAAGATTAAGAGATTTTAGTTGCTGGATTCATAATCATGACGAGAAATATTTGACATATCATGAGATCATGAGCAAGCTCATATCAGAAATTCGATATTATGGCTTTTTCGAAAGAAATAAAATATTACGGTCGGCAATTACGGCACATGATCGAAATAATTATACATTTATATCATTATGTATGCGCAGGTTTAAGCACTACATTATTGTTTTTATGGCAATTTAGTGCCAAGATGTGACGTAAATGGAAGGTAGTATGTAGATCAAATTTACACATCAATCAGTATAATATATACGTGAAGCTTTAATAATTCCAAAAGCGCTTTTTAATTAACGTCTTAAAAAAAATTTGTTAATAATTAATAAAAAAGCTTTGTCACAATGTCCTGATGTTATATTATTACTAAATAATTAATTTTTTTTTACGTTTCTTATTATTTAATTCTCAAATAGTTTAAGGAGACTCCTTTCCCTGTAAAAAAAGTCGATCCGTTTTTTATATTCCGTCTTTTTTCCGTAAAAGGCTCATATTTCAGCCTTATATCACGGAATTTATCGGATCATTTACATTTTCCGTGAATGGATCCGGCGAAAGGCTCATTTTTACGGAGTTTTTAGATAAAATTTTTTATAGAGCTTTTAAAACAATATTTATTTTATAAAAAAAAACGAGATATCAGAATTCATTATTGCTCTTTGAAACACAGAAAATATTCTAATTAAAATTCTTTAATTCTTTGTCAAAAGTATCTAAAGAAAAATACTATTCTAGAAATAGTAAAGCTCATGTTACAAGAACCTTTGATCAACATTAAATTAAAAAAATTGATCTTTAATGTTGATTACCAGAATATCCGTGAAAGAGAATTGCATTTTCATTAATTATGTGTAGCCAACAAAAGTTATTAACGGATATCCCCGATATCTTACAAATAGATCTTGCCTCTTTAAATATTATTCTTGTATTTTTTCTACTTTTCTTTACTTTTTTAAGAACATTCCTACCTTGTAATCAAAAAAAAAAATTGTTTAAAAATAATTTTATATTCAAAATAAAATAAATTGAAATTTCTACGGCGGATATTTCCGAAATTAAATTCCGATCGAAAAATCCGTTCTTTAAATTTTTTTTTTTAACCAATGAAAAAAACTCTCCCATTGACCAAATACATATTTCAAATAAAAAATATTTTTAAGTTTTTTATTTACAACATAATTGAATAATAATAAAAAAAGTAAGATGTGATTGTGATATGTGATACTTGAGCACAATTACATCACTAATTGAGGGGAGAGGCTTTGAGAACAGCCTAAAACGGATAATTTCTTTATTTATACATACATTATAAATATTTACGTTACTCAAAATGAAAATTTTAAATATTTCAAGTTCATCAATTTTTTTATTCATTCATAAAAAAATTTCTTTAAACACAAATAAAGAAAATCCGAATCAAAGTTCTATTTAAATGTATTTATTTGGAAAGAAAACAAAGGAAGGAATTTTGGGTATAACATCATAAAGATTGATCTTTATTATACAAATTCAATAAAAAATTTTCTGGGGAAAATCATTCCAACAAATGATCATTTTTCTAGTTTTCATTCCAAACAAACTCCGATATGTGATCAATTTTCTAAAAATTTTTTTACAGGGAAAGATCTGATAGTAATTATTGAAGTGTGTTTTAAAGGGAATATTAAAATTTACGGGAGGCCCAACGTTCTTTATGCAAACAATAACGAATATCTGTAGTATGTACAACGTCGGTAATTACTAAATCATCTGGCATATATTCCAACACTCCATTTGCAGCTCTAATTACCAGCCGGATGTTATGCACACTTAATCCTTCAATTATATTAAAAAGAAATAGAATTGTTTATTTATAGACTTACAAGAAGCATTGAAATGAAATCGAGCTTGTTTAAGTTTTACTAAACGCATGATAATCAATTTTTAAAAAACTATTAAATACATAAAAGTGACTATTTACTATATATATTTATTAGCAATGCCCCTCCTTATTTCTTTATAAAAGATTTTCTTTTTTAACTTTACCAGGTAATTTTAATATTCTTGTGTATTAAAAATAAGATTCAACAAGGAAAGCTCCCATATTTACGACATATACAAGCTTATAATATTGCTCTTGGTTTTGTCTGGAATGATGGATACGTATCCAGTTTCGTAAGATTAAAATTCTTTTTTAAGTTCCTTAATTTTTCAAAAAATGAGATTGGTTTATGAAAGTCGATAATATACAAGATTGAATAAATAATTAAAAATAATTAAAATCCACAAGTATAATTCTATATGATATTCAACGCCTTATCGGACTAAGTCATCTTTCATATATTCTAACGCTTCGTCTGCAGTTCTAATTACAAATTGTTTTCCAGTCGGAGGTTGAACTTTAATTGCAAAATAAATTATAGTATCGAATGTAATGGTATCGGCTACGGCTATCTTTCTTTTGAACACTTTAGTTTTTGAGCGAACTGTCACTGATTTAATACCGAAGAGTCTATAATTTAATAAGGAAAAAAAAAAAAATTTTATTAACATAACATTTCTCCGATCTGCATGTAATTTTAATTGTTCGTCCCCTATGTATTATTTACTCACAATACAGCAGACCAAGTGATCTACGATTGGGAGATGGTATGGTGGATGACTTGCTGGACATATGGGTTCAGATTAAAACGTCTTTAAAACGTACTAATATGTAGTTCATTGAAACGACCAAAATCGATTGAAAGCGGCCACATCTATTAAACTATAATGATAGGATTCTTCACTTGTTCCAATTCATAATGAAGTTTCGAAGTATCTATATGACCCCAAGAATTTGGAATGTTTAAAGAGGAGACATTGGAATATAATTGACGAAGATTTTGTATTGGTTCGAGAGTTTAGGTTATCTAGAAAAAATTTTTGCGATCTGTTCTAGAATTACGAAGGGAATAACCGTAGCATTGAAGCAAGCTATGGATATTGATTTTGAATTCCCCATTTTCCAAACATCAGATAAATGTCGATTTGATGATTCATTTGTTTAAAAAAAGATCGTTACGAAGAAAGGAATATATATATATATATGTATAATACGACAATAATTTCGTGTACGCGTTATTAAAAAAAATATTTACGTTAAGTGACAAATCTTCGTCGATAGGGTCATCATAGCCGCTCATTTTCATCGATGGTAATTAATAAATTCATCGTGCTAAGATCATTATTAGAACTTGTAATAAAATTATTATCTAAACTTGCGTTGTAATTGTTGAGAAATTACAGAATTTACTAAAGTGGGTTGTTGTTGACTTGTTGTTGACAAATGTTTTAAGTCTTTTTTAATTATGAGACCAAATACATGACCATTCCAGCAGTCAAAGCCAAGAGCAATATTAAATGCTTGTATATGTCGTAAATATTGTTAAAGGGAACCGGGTTTATAAGAGCTTTCCTTTTTGAATCAATATATTTTTGTAAAGTTTATTTTGTTATAAGAAAATAATTTATTGATTCGCCAGGATGCAGGCTTTTTATGACGTTTATAATCGACCATTGATAATGATTTGTCACTCTTAGGAGACAAGTTTTCGATGTCATCTTCACCTCAGGATGATGGATTTTGATGTTGCGAAATAGGTGAAGCGGATTTGTGCTCACGAATTGGTGGCATATTAAAAAAAAAAAGAAAGAAAAAGAATGAATAATGAGAATTTCTTAAAATCATGGTTGATTTTATAATAAAATCAACCATGATTTATATATAATTTGATTGATACACATATATATTTTTATACTACTTGTTATTACTGCATTTTTTTTTACATAACATCTTATATATTTAGAACGAATATGTTAAAACCTTTTATCCCAAATATGGTTGAACAAAGTATTAAATAAAATAAAATAATAATAGAAAAAAAACAAATCACCTTACAATAAAAAAATTATTACATTGCCGAATTTATGTGATGTGATAAGGAATTTCTGGTCACAATTACAAAGCTTCTTTGGTATAAAATGTCATTATCCACAGTAGAAGTAAAATTAAAAAAATATAAATACAAATAAAAAAAATATAAAAAAAATTCAACAACAATTTTTAAAATACAAAGAGATACAGATATATATACTGTAATTAATTATTTTATAATTTTTATTGTACGACCTTATTTAGCATATTTGTACGTATTATAAAACAACTAACTACATAGATTTATAAAATATATATACCGTATTTTGCGGTAAGTAAGCACCCCCCGAAAGTAAGCACCCCTGGCCAGAATTATGGCGATTTTGGCCAAAATTATGAGGATCTTGGCCGGCATCAAGTGCAAAAATGGGGTGCTTATATACCGCAAAATACGGTATTATATTAGTATATACAAATTACTTATTTTAAAATAAAATTCTTTTTTTTGCGATGCAATATTTAAAATCCTATTTTGTCATTTAATCATTTCGTAATATTTATAAAATATTTGAGTTTTCTTGATTTCAAATATAGCTGATAATCCCATGCATAAATAGAATTTAAGAACCGAGGGGTGCATGCCTGTGACTTAAAAAGTAATTTTAGGCTGAAATAATTTAAAAACTTCTTAACTAAGTTATAAATTTTGAAACTTAAATTACCTAACAAGAAAGGATTCCCTCGCAAAATTCCGTTTCATAAGCTTGTGTACCTTTTTTCTTTTCGAATGAAATTTTAACCACATATTCTGGTGAAAATTTTATTGGTTACACAAGGATTTTTTTTTTTGAAAGGATTTTTACAATAATTACAAAATGAACGACAACAATACGACTAATTAATAATCGGTTAAATGGAATTGACCTAATACGGTTAAATTCACGTGTCACAACGTTACACAATTGTACATAAAATAAATAATGTTTTTTCATATACAAGCAAGTTCGATAAATATTTCTATATAATATAAAAAAAAAAAATAACTGAAATTTGTATAAAATCCGAGTTTTTTTATTATTAACTTTATCCTGTAAAATACAAGAATCATACACTTTCAATAAATATATATTCGTAAATTGTAGTAATAAGAATCTTTAAAATCTAATCTAACCCGGTAGGATCTATATATTAAATAGTGTAATAATGGAAGATTAAAAATTTGTTTAAACAAACGGTTCCTTTACGTACGAAAATGCAAAAAAGTGCCTTTGATTGTTGCGTTTCGTTTAATGTGATAAGAAAATTTAATTTTATTGAATAAGAGTAATACAATAAAAAAATAAAATATATAAATAACGTGAATGTGAATCCTCCATAAGCTTCGAAAGTATAACAATAAAAAATATTATATACAAATAAATATGGACGATAGTTTAGTTATCATAATAATTACTTCTAAAAGATTCGTTCAAATCATCATCTGGTTGAAATTGAGATCGAGATATACGATTGTTATCAACATTCTGCATATGGACAGCAGGACTTCTATTTAGTTGTGGTACTGTCATGAAAAATTGTGCATCATTACTGCTTTTATTTCTAAAATTTTGTTCATTCGGTTTCCGATAAGGACTCATTCTATTTACAATCCGATTTTTCGGTAAAGTTGAAGATCGAACATATTGAGTTCTTTGTTGGGTTTGATCATTTTGTAATTTAATAACAATTTCCAATTCAATTTTAAGGATTTGATTTTGAGAAGAATCAATCCTCTTCGAAATTTTTGGAATAGAAACTTTCGCGCTGGCATTATCATAATCGTGTTGTGTAGGCACAAAGTCATTTTGTTGAGCATGTTCATCATACTGCAAAGGTACTTGATGATATTGCAAATTGGAAGTAGAAATGGATTCTTGTATGTTACTATTTTGAACAGTAACATAATCACCGGTATTCGACACGTTTTCATAATAAGGATGTTGTAAAGAATTATCAAAAAATTCAGAATTAGATTCGTGATCACTATTATTATCAATAAAAGTGTTAAAATGTAAAGACATTGTGTAGTATTTTTATTATGTTTATTAGAAATACTATTATTTTGAAGGATGATGGATACGCAGGGTATTTAATGGGTATTTATATAAGTTTTTGATTAACGCCACTTAATATTTTCATTATAAGGTTCAGTTCCTGCAGTTTTTTATTCGTTCACCATTATTTATGTGAGGTCGTACAATAAATACTGCTTTTATCTTTTTTCATTTTTATGTAAGGTCGTACAGTAAAATACTGCACGTATTTTTTTCATTTATTTTAAAATGGGTAATTTTATTTTTTAGTAGTCAATAACATTTTTACTAAAGATTTGTAATACCAAAATTTTGTTTTAATGAAATTCATATCACATACATATATTCGGAAATCGTAAATTTTAATTGCAACAGATATAGAACAATCAAATCACCTTTTTATGTTTATATTAAAAAAAATTATCTTTACATTAATTCGTTATTCGTTACAATTTTATTTATTTATTTATTTTATATACTTTTTATGCACGAACCTTTATACCCAAATGGTTACATAATATATATACTGTATAAACAATACAATTGGAATCAAAAAAAAATCAAAAATCAATCAAATTATTTAAAATCAATCTGAATTTAAAGTAATTCATTCATTCATTTCCATTTTTTTTTTTAATATACAACCAATGATCATAAATCTGTTTCCCCTACTTTGCGACATCATCAAAATTCATCAATGATCGATAAGAAACTTGGCAAAAAAGATGTGAAAAAGTCTACATCCTAACGAATCAATAAATTATTTCCTATAATAAAAATATTGGTATCGTGTAGAAAATTATCCTAAGTGATAATATAGTAAATTGTAATAAATAGATAATTAATTAGTTTTATAAGATACAAGATACAACTAAGTTAAGTAAATAAAATATAAAATTATAAAGAAAAAAAAAATCACTTCGGCGATCGTCAAGTTACATAAGATACCGCTGTTTATAGGCAATTAACATAAATAGAAAATTTATGAAACCCCAAAATATGCTTAAACGCACGCTTAAATTCCGATCGGACGATCTTAATAAATGCAATGACTATCCGTAAAGAATTATGTGATACTTAATCGGGAAAAATATACGCCCAAGAGCTATATTATAAGCTTTGTATATTGTTGTAAATATTGTTCGAGAGGATCGGCTTTATGAGAGCTTGCCTTTTCGAATTTTCTTATAAAGTTTCTTTTGCTATAGGAAAATAATTTATTGATTCGCCAGGATGCAGGATTTTGATGTTCACGATTGGTGGCATATTAAAAAAAAAAGAAAAAGAATGAATAATGAGAATTTCTTAAAATCATGGTTGATTATATATATAATTTGATTGATACACACATATTTTTATACTACTTGTTATTACTGCATTTTTTTTTACATAACATCTTATATATTTTAGAACGAATATGTTTAAAACCTTTTATCCCAAATATGGTTGAATATAGTATTAAATAAAATAAAATAATAATAGAAAAAAAAACAAACCACCTTACAATAAAAAAATTATTGCATTGCCGAATTTATGTGATGTGATAAGGAAATTCCATAGTATACGTACATATTTATACGTATTATAAAACATATTTTATTACATAGATTTTATAAAATATATATATTATATGGCTGAGTATATACAAATTACTTATTTTAAATAAAATTCTTTTTTTTTGCGATGCAATATTTAAAATCCTTTTTTTGTCATTTCATTTCGTAATATTTATAAAATATTTAAGTTTTCTTGATTTCAAATATAGCTGATAATCCCATGCATAAATAGAATTTAAGAACCGGGGGCACATGTCTATGACTTAAAAAGTAATTTTAGGCTGAAATAATTTAAAAACTTCTTAACTAAGTTATAAATTTTGAAACTTAAATTACCTAACAAGAAAGCAAAATTCCGTTTCATAAGCTTGTGTACCTTTTTTTCTTTTCGAATGAAATTTTAACCACAAATTACAATACACAAACGGCTATTTATAGGCTATAAATGGAAGATTTATGAAACCCATAAAATTGCGGGAACATAAAATTTAATTCTAGCGGGTGTATATACTTTGTAACAAATAGTAAAGAAACAAAATATTCTTTTATGATACCCAATAAATTGAAATATTGTTACCTTTCAAACAAAGTTTTTTTTGTTTATAAAAGGTTATTTGAAGAGAAATATTTGTTTTTTTTATTTACATTAAATTATATGTTCCCGCAATAGCCGCCGGAGATTTTTTTTCTCACCTTTTTAAACAAAGATTTTAAAGTTTTTTTTTTTTTGTTTATAATAAAAAACGTGTAATTATCGATAGATTTAAAATAAATTTAAGGATATCTTTGAAAGGGAAAATACGGAAAGTAACTTTGATAAATTTTGTAAAGTGGGGTTCATTACGATAGATCATCTTTTTTTTGTACATATGATAGATAACTTGTTTAAAAGAAATCTGATTAGTTAATGAAGAACGGTATCATGACCCATAAATGAAAAAAAAAATAAAACTCTAAATTTCTTTCCCTTCTAAATTTAGGTCATCTAATATATCTTTATTTAAAGTATAAATTATACATAAAATAAATAAATAATTAATTATTCCTTAAGAAAAACTCTTTTTTATAGCTTTGAAACTATTCTTAAATAATATAAATTATTATCAAGGGACCAAAATCAAAAATGGTATTTTCAATAAGAAGCATGTGTGACCAATCCTATTATGTAAACTTGTCAAATGTTAAGTTAAAATTAAGTTGTATAAATTTCGTCATATTTCCTTCTACAATAAGATAATAACGTAATGATTGAATATTTATGCATGTCATGTGTAATTTCTGCGCCGCCTACGTTTTTCCTTTGATGTCTATTTTAAGTGGTCGGTTTAATTGATAATTAAAGTTATTAATTAAAATATATGCATATAATAACAGATAATAATAAAATATTATTATTAAAATATTGTTTTCAAAAATTTTAAATATTAAATATTCCCATTAATAAATCAATATGATCTTTCGGTTAAAGTATTAAAAGTAATGAGTATTAAAAATAATTTAAAGTAGGAATGCTGCAGTATAACGGTAAACACCGCCCGCTTTTACAATGGACCGAAAAAGAGGACAATATCCGAAATTCCGAGGATTTCAAAATATAAAATAAATAAAAGTAATATAAAAATTAATAATTAATATCATATGTCATTACATTAATTTCGTACCAATGTTTACCTTTATTACAATAGTTACAGATCATATTTATAATTATATTGTTATTCACACTTTTTTAAATATGGCAGAACATTTAAAATGATGACTATATTGATTAAATTTTTCAATCAAAAGAAAAAAAAAAAAAAAATTAATAATTAATATCGTGCATGCGAAATAATAGTAATGTGAATGAATGAATGAACAAGAAAAAGGAAAGTGTTAATGCTGTCTCTTATACACATCTAGATGTGTATAAGAGACAGATCTCATCGTTCCTATAAAAAATTTAAGCAGTTCGTAAAAACGAGCCTTTCACGGATCCATTCACAGAAAATGTAAATTATTCGATAAATTCCGTGATATAAGGTTATTAATTCCGGAAATATGAGCCTTTTACGGAAAAAAGAATGGAATTGGCGTTACATCTTTCTTTTTTCTTTTAGGAAAAAAGATTCTTTTTAGTCTATAAATTTGAAGGGAAATAACACAAAGTTTTTTTATTTACTTAATACTTCAATTGCTGTTTGTGACCAGTTTGTGATCTTATTGATTGGCGTATTGGTGAAATTTATAATTATTTGATTAGGTTTAATCGTGATCATATGAAATTTTTGGTTGGAATGCGTCTAATTATATATTCAATTAATAGTTAACGTATAGATAGAAGTATCATATATATTATTGTATTAATATCATTATCTTGCCAAACAAAAGGATTACATAAATGGAAGGCTATCAAAGTTTTATCTATTTACTATGTTTATTGATGTGATAATCACGCGGTTTAATAATAAACGCGAACAGTAAAAAATATTTTATTTAATGTGTATTATTTGTATGCTTTTCGAATGAAATTTTAATCACTGGTTACACAAGGAATTTTGAAACCCCATTACAAGTGTGTCACGTATCGCAACAGTTACACAATCGTACATAAAAATATTTTTTCTCATATTAAATATGAAAAATAAAACTATTGGGAATTACATTCAGCCAAAAAACCTTTAATAACGCTTGTTTTGTTATTCGAGGTCAAATTATGACAATGTATGAATTACGTTCCCCCATTTGATCGCAAGTTAGAATTCTTAATTTTGTGTTGTTTCAAAACTGATGTTTAAAAGAAAATTATCCATTTTTTTTTGCATTTCTTAATTTAAAATTTTATTTTATTAATTTACCATAAATATATAATATAAAAAAAAAAGATAATTGAAATTTGTATAAAATCCGAGTTGTAACATTTTTTATCATTAACTTTATCCCGTAAAATACAAGAATATATTCGTAAATTGTAGTAATAAGAACCTTTAAAATCTAATCCGTTAAGATCTATATATTAAATAGTGTAATAATGGAAGATTAAAAATTTGTTTAAATAAACGGTTCCTTTACACACGAAAATGCGAAAAAGTACCTTTAATTGTTGCGTTAAATAGAAATTTAATTTTATTGAATAGTAGAAAAATAAAGATATCGTGAATCGTGAATTCTCCACAAGCTTTGAATGTATAACAATAAAAAAACATTATATGCGTTATAAACATAAAAAATATGGTCGATAGTTCAGTTATCATAATTGCTTCTAAAAGATTCGTTCAAATCATCATCTGGTTGAAATTGAGATCGAGATATACGATTGTTATCAACATTCTGCATATGGACAGCAGGACTTCTATTTAGTTGTGGTACTGTCATGAAAAATTGTGCATCATTACTGCTTTTATTTCTAAAATTTTGTTCATTCGGTTTCCGATAAGGACTCATTCTATTTACAATCCGATTTTTCGGCAAAGTTGAAGATCGAACATATTGAGTTTTTTGTTGAGTTTGATCATTTTGTAATTTAATAACAATTTTTAAGGATTTGATTTTGAGAAGAATCAATCCTCTTCGAAATTTTTGGAATAGAAACTTTCGCACTTGCATTATCATAATCATGTGGTGTAGATGCAAAATCATTTTGTTGAACATGTTCATCATGCTGCAAAGATGCTTGATGATATTGCAAATTGGAAGTAGAAATGGATTCTTGTATGTTACTATTTTGAATAGTAACATAATCACCAGTGGTATTCGACACGTTTTCATAATAAGGTTGTTGTAAAGAATTATCAATAAATTCAGAATTATATTCGTGATCACTATTATTATTATCACTAAAAACATTAAAATGATGTAAAGACATTGTGTAGTATTCTTATTATGTTTATTAGAAATACTATTATTTGAAGTATTTTAAATGGGTATTTATATAAGTTTTTGAGTAACGCCACTTAATTTTCCAATTGTACGGTTCCTGCAGTTTTTTATTCGTTCACCATTTTTTATGTGAGAGCGTACAATAAAATAAAGGAATCTGCACGTATCTTTTTTCATTAATTTTAAAATGGGTAATTTTATTTTTTAGTGGTCAATAAACATTTTACTAAAGATTTGTAATACTAAATTTTTGTTTTAATGAAATTCATATCACATACATAAATTCGGAAATCGTAAAATCTTAATTGCAACAGTTATAGAACAATCAAATCACCTTTTTATATTTATATTAAAAAAATTACCTTTACATTAATTCGTTACAATTTTATTTTATTTTTTTTATTCTATATACTTTTATATAATTTATACACGAACCTTTATACCCAAAATGGTTTCATAAATATACTGTATAAATAATACAATTGGAATCAAAAAAAAATCAAAAATGAATTTAAGTAATTAATTCATTAATTTCCATTTTTTTTTAATATGCAATCAATGATTATAAATGATCGATAAGAAACTTGGTAAAAAGATGTGAAAAGTCTACATCCTAACGAATCAATAAAAATAAAAATATTGGTATCGCGCAAAAAATTATCCCAAGTAATAATAACAAGAGGACTAGGAGGAAGCCTTCAAAGCCGTGTCATGACTGATTGTAAGGAGACAAACGATTATATTAGGTTACTTTCTAGTAAACAAGCAAAATTGAAGAAATTGTTGATAATTTTAAGAATCTTCCAAAAATAAAGCTGACAATAGATTTTCTACATTCCATGCTAAATTTCACAAGGTGCATTATAGGTCGCATTAATTAAATTTTAAAGGCGCAGTACCTATCTGCTATTATGCACCTTGTCGATCCGGACGATTTTTTCAATTTTCCTTTTTTTTTTTCCTTTTGGATTTACCAAACTTTATAGTTTTATTTTTTTTTTGATTTAAGTTTACGCCAAAACAATGCACGGATTATCAGTTATACATTTGAAACAATACACACATATTTAAAATAGAATTCGATTAATATTCGTTTTGATAATCCCATACAAAAATAGAATTTAAGAACCGTGGGCGCCATGTCTATGACTTAAAAAGTAATTTTAGGCTGAAATAATTTAAAACTTCTTAATAAATTTTGAAACTTAAAATTACCTAACAAGAAAGGATTTGCTCGCAAACTTCCGCTTCATAAGCTTGTGCACCTTGTTTTACTTTTCGTTTTGGAAGAACAAAATTTTCTGCTCATGAATACTTACATTTACCTTACAATAATTACACAAACGGCTGTTTATAGGCTATTACGGTATAAATATATTATCAAGAATTCCGGGTATAACATAAAATTTATATATTGTAACAAATAATAAAGAAACAAAATATTCTTTTATGATACCCAATAAAATATGACTGTTCGTTGTTTTTTGTTTGTTACAAAAGTGTACATTAAATTATATGTTCCCGCAATAACCGGAGATTGTTTCTCTTATCTTTCAATCAATTTTTTTTTTTGTTTATAATAATTATCGATGGAATTTGTTATTTGAAGGGAAATACGGAGAAATTGACTGATAATATCCGGAAGTCATTGACGATATCATCTTTTTTTTTAAAAAAAAATCTGTTACATTAAAATAGTCAATGAAGAATGGAGCATGACTCAATTGACTCATAAATGAGAAAAAAAATAAACTTTAAATTTCTTTCCTTCTAAATTTAGGTCAAATATTTCTCTTTTATATTTTGAACTATCAGATGATATTAATTAGGAAAAATGGTATCTTATGATTTATTTAATGGGAATGAATAATATTTAAATTTTAAAACCTTTAATAATTATTATTTTAATTAACTTAAAATTGATATTTACAATGGACCGAAAAGAGGCAAAAATATAAAATAAAATAAATATAAAAATAAAAAGATCAATGACAGATATTAGGTAATATTTTAGGGGGTCAAGATTATAGTAATGTGAATGAATGAATGAATGAGAAAAAGGAAAGTGGTAATGTTATCAATGCGAAAATTATGACATTCAGTTTCTTTTTATATTCTTTATCATCTTTTTTTTTAAAAAAAAAAGAGATCCCGAATTATGCATGAATGAGATGAATGAAAAAAAGAAGGAAAAAAAGAATATGGGGAAGAAAAAAAAATTGACATGTTACTTTTACATTGCATTTTGTACAATAATAAAATGGCGTATAATAACAATTCTTATTCTTTCTCTTATAATATTGTTATTATTACGACATAAACATACATATTACATAACATCATAGTATTATATTGTTCAACAAACAACTCGATTACATTGTTGGCAATAGATCTGCCATTGCATATCACTTGGAACCCCTGTATTATTTATTATATATGATACTGCTGTATGGGTATGGGTGATTTAAATTTATAATTGGGTTTAATCGTGATCATATGAATTGTTGTTTGAACATGTCGAATTATTCAGTTAATAGTTAGCATATTAGATTTGTGTGGTATTAATATATCAACATCCTAAATAGAAAAGTTTTATCTGTTTACTATGTTTAAATTTAACTTGATGTGATAATTACGCGTTTCAATAATAAACACGAATAAGTACTAAAAACAATATTTTATTTAATTTTCTCTTTGTATTAATTGAGTAACTAACTAACTCCCTTTCTTTGATCCGTGAAAAGAATGTTTAATAGATGTATTCGATTATAGTTTAATTAAAATCTAAATACTAAAGTAATGTAACTTTAAGCGGAATTGGATAAATTTTCTTTCGGGCGTTTTTTAGGTCAAAATATATTAAAGATATTTTCTAATAAATTGAACTTTACAAAGCTAGGTAAATTAAAAAAACTAATTTTTAAAGGCAATAGAAAAAAATCGGCCGGTGATACACAAAGTAGTATGTGTGATAGGCGTTGAATCTATACTTGCCGTCGGAATTAATTACGACATATGAAGCTTATACCGCAATATATTAAATCGCCGTAATGCCTTAATTATTTACAAAAATTACACAAAGAAAGTAAATATTTTTTTCTTAATTATGTCGTATATAATTTGCAATCCGTAAATCTATAATGCTGATTTGTTAGTTATTTAAATGGTAAAATCCATATTCGTGATGCCGTAATTTCGACAGCACCTATAGTGAATCAGTATGTGTTTTATGATGATATGAGAGTACTATATTGGAAAAATGGAATAGTACATAATACTACGCTTTTGAATTTTCATGCTTATTACACTTGCTTATTGGTATCTATTGGGAGGAGTTTCGGGTATACATTATATACATAATATTGATTATTATGTATTCATTTATTAATTATATCAAAAGAATAGTGAATTGTTTGTAGACTCATAAAAAAGCATTCAAGCTTGTTTATTAAATTAAACTAGGTTCATTGAAACTTGACCAAAATCGATTAAAAGCGGCCATATATATTAAACTATAATGATAGGATTCATCACTTGTTCCAAATCTATAATGAAGTTTTGAAGTGCCTACATTACCCAAGACTTTGGAATGTTTAAAGAGGAGACATTGAAATATAATTCCAGTCAAAGCCAAAGAACAATATTATAAGCTTGTACTATATGTTGTAAATATTGTTCAAGGGAACTGGCTGCTTTCCTTTTTGAATCAATATATTCTTGTAAGTTTCTTTTGTTATAGGAAAATAATTTATTAATTCGCCAGGATGCAGGCTTTTTATGAAGTTTATAAAATTTATTACACCTACTCTTGAAGCTCTTGTGTTTATACTAGGGGACCTTTTGCCACGTTTTTTATCGACCATTGATAATGGTTTGTCACTTTTAGGAGAAAAGTTTTCGATGTCGTCTTCACCAGAGGATGATGGATTTTGACGATGTTGCGAAATAGGTGAAGCGGATTTATGTTCACGAATTGGTGGCATATTAAAAAAAAAAAAAGAAAAAGAATGAATAATGAGAATTTTTATAAAATCATGGTTGATTTTATATAATTTGATTGATTTTTGATTCAATTGTTTAATATATACAATATATACAATTTATACAGTAAATTACAAGTAGCATAGTATAATACTTTATGCAACCTTTTTGGGGATAAAAGGTTTTTAATATATTCGCGCGTTAAAATGTATAAAATGTTACGTAAAATAAAATAAAATTAATAGAAAAAAAAAACAAATCCGAATTTATGTGATGTGATAAAATCATTAAAGAAAATTTCTGGTCGCAATTACAAAGTTTCATTTGTAAAAAGTGTCATTAATTATTCACAGACCACAGTAAAAATAAAAAATAAAAATAAAAATACAAATAAAAATAAAAAAAATACTTTTATTGTCGACCTTATTTAGAAATAAAAAAAATTAATCAATAACATTTATTGTCATAAAACCGTTCGATAAGTTTAACTTTTTAATTTCTTCTACTACATTCCAGGCGTAGCGCCGTAGCGCTTTGACATATATTTAATATATTTAAATGGAATAGTACAATTGGCGCAGTTTATATCACTATGATGATATATATACTGTATATATATATATATATACAGTAAAAAAACTCATAATTACCTTTCGCCAAAAAAATTTTCTCACAATGCCGATAGACATACCGGAAAAAAAGTTTGAGTTAGCAAGAAATACCTTGCTCGAGCAGGATATCATAAAAGTGAATATAACGGAAGAGGATACAGCTGAAAAGAAATTAATAGAAGAAGATACAAAGTCAAAAAAAATTGTAGTTTTAAGCGGTGTATCACTTGAAAACTTCTGCAAGTTACGTGCAGAAGCGAGAAAGTTTAAAATTTACATCCGTTTAGTTAAAGGTGAAATAATCGTGTACGAAACACCCAGTCCTGTTCACTCATTCACAACAGGATATTTGAGTAATTTAATAGGAGCTTGGAGCAACTATCTTGATGTTGGTGGCGAACTAGATATGACTATTAGTCATGATACTGAGTATATTTCTGACATCGTAATTGAACCAATACAACCTCTACAACCTGGACAACAACAGCTTGGACCTGCACCACCTGGAAGCGTACCGATGCCAAGAATGATTATAGAAGTGGGGAGATATGAGTCTATTGGAAGTTTGCATTCTTTGGCAAAAGAATATTTTTCCAATTCTACGCAAACCAATTTAATACAAGTTTATTTATTAATTAAAATATTCCCTCGTCAGTCAGCTGGTACCGCTGCGATGGTTGCGATGATTTATTTACGTGATAATCAGATTCCTGGACAAAACCGACCAAACGCATCCATGATAACAGTACAAAACACACAACCAAACCTCGTAATTTCATTTGGAACAGCACCTCTTCATCAAGAATCAATAGATATCATTAATAGTACCGGAATACAAAATTATAGATTCATTGGCTTCCTTCAGCCTGAAGATATTGCTTGTACGAATGCCGGAATGCCGAATTACCAAATTGATATACCGTCAAATTTACTTTTCAATGGTTTTCCTGGAGGTGTACCTCAGGGAACACCAAATAATTTAAACATAGATCTATGGGAGGTTCAGCAACGAATTCTGCGTCGTCTGGTGAGTGCATAGAAAATACGTACATATTATAAAACAACTAATTATAAAATATATATATTTATGTATGAGTATATACAAATTACTTATTTTAAATAAAATTCTTTTTTTTTTGCGATGCAATATTTAAAATCCTTTTTTTGTCATGTCATTTCGTAATATTTATAAAATATTTAAGTTTTCTTGATTTCAAATGTAGTTGATAATCCCATGCATAAATAGAATTTAAAGAACCGGAGGCGCATGTCTATGACTTAAAAGTAATATTAGGCTGAAATAATTTAAAAACTTCTTAACTAAGTTATAAATTTTGAAACTTAAATTACCTAACAAGAAAGGATTCCCTCGCAAGATTCCGTTTTACAAATAGTTGTTAATCGTCAATACGTCCTTTAGTTATTCCTATAGTACGTCCAACCTTGAATACACAATCTGAAGTTTCTATCAAATTGACATTTCTGATACCCGAAAGCACAATAGGCTTAAGAGACTGAAGTTTGAACTCTGATTCAGGGATGGCAACATCTTTCGGATTTATGGACTGTTTCTTATCAGGGTCATCAACCAAACCTATGGTGGCATCAATTCCATACAATTTTTTGTCAATCTCATAATTGTCACATATACCATTCACAAATGTTTGCAAATTCTGTAGACCTCATCCTTATTTGAATGAACGTTTAGTTTCTTCTCGAACTCCAACTATTCGTTCTGCTATGCCAACCTACCGTTATGAATGCTTTAACCGAACAACTCGCTTCATCGAACAATCTTCATCGTCAAATATTACCTTTTTACAAAAATCTTTTCAAGATACATCATTAATTTTCAATTTCAAATATTCTGCATAAAAGTGATGGGCGCATTTTTGGAATGTCTATATAGTACACGGACTCATTATGATTATATTGATAAATATTATGTAATAACATTATTTCTATTTATTTTATTGAATATCTATTATAATTCTAATTAATAGTAAACATATTTCAATAACCCATAATCATAAATACCCGAGTATACCCAATAAACTGGTAACTGACCGCAGCTCTAACTAAAAACTGATTACCATGATTATGAGTTACTGTATATACTGTATTATAGATGATAAAATAATGTAATCATTTAATGAATTTTAATCTACTCCCGCAGTTATAAAGAAGTTTATTGTCTTGAACAAATTTTTGATTCATTGAAATTAGTTTATATAAAAATTTGGATTCAAAATAAATAAAAGCAAATCAAATTAATATTGTTTCCACAAGATATAAATATTATTACAATTTATAAACATAAAATTGACACCATTAACATCTCATCTGTCTATAACATTATAAATATTTCTTACAATTTTAGATAGTTATTGCGTCAATCAAAAGTTTAATATGAGTATATGACTCACCTATACAATATTAGATATATTATGTAATAATTGTGTCTGATCGACGATCTTTCCTCAAACGCGTACTATAGAACACGACGTGTCTCAATAAATATACATGAGTCAATTTTCAGAAAAAAAAGTATATATATCCTATATTTTTTTCATACGTTTAATTTTTTTGTATGGTTAAAATACTTTTTCGTATGTTTATCTTATTTTTTTGTACGTTATTTTTTATTTCAATGACTCGGCAACAAAAAAAAAGTTGTTCGTGCGTGAACAACTGTTGTTTGTCGAAAAAAAAGTTTTTTTTTTTCTTTGGTCGTTAAATGAGGCAACTAAATTCCTCAAGGGTGCAACAATATGCAAGAAAAAAAAATAATTTTTTATTCTTCAACCAACAACTACTGTTTAATACTAAAAAAAAATGTATTTCTGGGTAATTGATTACCTATCATTTGGTTTTCAATACTCTTGAAGACCAACGTGATCTTCACTATGATGACGAGAAGGTTTTGATTGTTCATGACCAGGTAATGGAGTATTGAGTAATATTCGGTATATACTGTACTTATTTATCTTTGCCTTTTTTATAAGAACTCTCTTCTTTTTTGGCATAGGAGTCATTAGTTTGTTTCTTTTCCAAAAAATCAACCATTTCCTTTTCTTTATCTTTAATTAAAACTTGGGCGGGAGCAGGCCAGCTTGTTTGATCTTCCAATGGTGGTAATATTGGTGAAAATTTTGTTCTCCTTGAATCTTTTTTATTATATTTTCTAGAATCATCAAAAGACTCATTGTGATCATTATCTTGATTGTCTGTTCTTTTACAACTATCAGCTAATACATATGATTTTATCATTTTAACATATTTTTTCATATAATTAACATACTTTTTCGTATAGTTAACATACTTTTTCAAACAATATATATATCTGTTGTAAAATCATTAGATACCAAAGGTTACCAAATTTCGCAAAAGCCTTCTAAGCCATATATAGCCATATACAATAGAGAGCCACAGTACGGAAGTTAAAGGCCTTCTTTCTTGAGTGGAAAATGACTCAAGAGACTTTAAAAGAGGTGTGTATTTTTTTATTTGCAAAGTGGGTAACTTCCTAAGCTAAAATTAGAACGGATAACTCATTGAGTCAGGGAGTTCACAAATTTTACTTAGGAGGGTACTGGATTTGTTTGTTTGGGTTGGGTAAGGGTGAGCAAAGTGGGTAATTCCTATGAAATTACCTGCTTTTTTTTTATTTTTATTTTTATTTTTTTATTCCCTTTTTTTTCTTTTTTTTTTATTTCATTTTTATTTCTTTTGTTCACTTGATAACTAACTCAAGCAGATAACATCCTACTTTGTTATTAGTAAAGTCTGCTAATTCTAAAGGAGGAATTGGCTATGTCTTCTTTACTATTAAATAAAAATTTAGCACACTATTAACAATTTCTTCTTTTTCATAATAGGTAAATACAGAGATTTTACAATCACTGGTAAAATGAAGAAATTTTGCTGAGTTTATTCAAAAAGTAACAGATTATACAAAACCGGAAAAGCCACTCAAGAAGAAAGGGAGAGAATTGATACATTATTAAATGAATTTTTAGACCCCTATAATTATGGCAGAATGATCGTAAAGTGAACAACAGAATTGATCCTTTATGGAAGTTGATAGAAAATTTGGTTGAGATTTTTCAAATGGATAATTATACAGATCATAAACTTTTTTAAAAAAATCTGCCATCACAATTAACTCCAGAAGGTTTAAAAAAATTGAGCAATGCTTATAATGAAGGATTGAAAAGAATAAAAGAAGTCTATTGTCAGGAAGTCATTAAAACTGAACGGATAAAATAAATAAGCCCATGCATTATTGCTTAAAGATATAATGCCAACTGAAACAGAAATTAATAATGTTTTAAAAAATTTACCGGCTGAATGGGATAGTCTAGAGAGTTAAACATCATTATAATAATAATAAGATGTCCAAAAAAAGAAATAAATTTTATAAAATTCAGTCATTTAACTCTTTGAGTATATATAATTATATAAAACCAAAAATTTGACTTTACGATAAGAAGTCTTTAAAAACTACACTTTTAAAACTTAGTTTATCGAAAAAGCCCATTTTAATATGTCTAATACACTAAATGAGTTTATATAACTTCAGAATTGGGAGGATTTTAAAGAAATGCTTAAAATAATACATAAATTTCGTATATTATACACGTTTTTTATTGATGAAAATTTTTTTTTAAAAAATAAATGATTAAATTCTTTAGGTCACATGCTATTCTAATGTAACAATTGGATAGTTATATGTATATCATTTTTATAGACTTTTAATATAATCAAAGTTTTCCTATAATGTTACACCGATTTTTTTACTGTAACATATATTTGTCCGGTGATTGTTATATAAAAAAAGTATCATTTGTATAATTTTCAGATATTATTAAAATAAACTGATAATTTAGACTATATATTAATTTTGAAACATATGTCAATTTATCTGAGTTAATTTATTTAATAGACGCGAAAACTGATATTTTTCGCGTTTTCGTGTATTTATTGCTCATAGTTTATAAAAAGTTTGTACAACAAAAAATAAAAAGGTCTTAACTGTTAAATATCCTTTTCAATTTCAATACGAAAAAATTTTACGAAATAAATTTTAATATATATATATATATATATATATTTTACAAAAAACTCTTTACGAAAATAATTTTTTTACCCAACTTCTCATCCAATTCACCCAAATGCCACGACATAAGAAATCGTCTAAAGGACATTCTTGGGGTAATTTGATAGTTGTTTACAATAAAGGACAGGTTTATCAAAACGTAGTTTCAATAAAAAAATATTTTAATATACAAATAAAAAAGTATTCATTATTTAATCATGTTGAAAATAATAGTACTCTGGAAAAAACACTACACGAGTTCCATCCCCACCACCCCCATCTTCACAGCAATCACAAACTGAAAAAGAATAAGAGCAAAGAACAAGAGCCTGCTGTTGAGAAATCTGAAAAAGAAATTTCGAAGCCCAACTCATAAACCTGGTTCTTTAACAGCAAATAACAAAAACCAAAACTTCATTTATCAACTCATAATCACGTAGTTCAAATAAGTAATGATTCAACGGTTGGAGATGACGAGTCAATTTGGGATGAGGGAGATCAGCCTACTACTTCTTATAATATAGCCAGAAAACTTTCTAGTGTCAAAGAAGACGTTTGTTATCCATTAAGAACCGCTAACAAGGTGATGGAATAGATTATAATGCATTAGAAGAATATACTACAGAAGAAAAAACTTCAGCGAAAAAAGATGAGGGAAATTATCATTTATTGCCTTCGTCTATTGATGTTAAGCAGAATAAGGACAGGCAGAATGAGACTAGGGTATTACGTGGTATGTATAAATTAACAAGTTTGCTGGATGGACGTGAGTAGTTGCTGGATGGACGTGAGTAGGTGCGCACTGCAGGGTTCACGCCTCGCATGAGACATGCTTGGTGCATCCAAGGTTACAGCCAAAAGTCTTCCAGATGGTAAACTGTTATAGTCAGAAATCGTTGATAGTTTGCCACTCCAGTTGTATAGGTTTTGTGAACTATCAATGATGACATATGTATACTGGTGGCTGCAGACACTTATGAATGTTTGTAAATTATAGGTAATGCTGATAACAATGGTGCCTCCCTCAGATGATAACACAGAATGCGAAGCCTTCTGTTAATTTTTGCTGAACCTTATCCTCTGTAATGCAAATAAGGTCTTCAGATTCCTACGAGTTTGTATCTAACTCATTGTTTCTTTGCGGTATGAGGATTTAAGCTACATTTATGATGAAATTTCTCAAACCTTTTTCAGTAAAATTATCTTTTATCGTGGTTGATGAAAAATTAATGGCCATTACTTGATATTTGACCGTATATTCAACACTACCGGTTATTTCTTGTGTATAATTTTCTAGGAATATGGTCATTATTCAAGTTTGACATATTTTGCTACTTATATATTCATATTCTTTTGTTACGCTATTAAAACTCCCAGCCCACACTCGGCCCAACTCACATACCTAAAGGAAGACATAAAAATAGGGATCTAAGAGAAGACCTAATAAAGAGAAAACCTTGACAGGAGAGTGGAGGTGCACATATTTTCTTAGAGAAGTTCTTGAAAAAGAGTGCATATCAAGTATTAAAAATGCGAAATTTTTTTTTTTTGATGTTTATACTTTGTATTTGTTATCTGACCTCTTATCATTGTATTCTTTTTTTATTTATCAGTTACAGCACTATTTTGTATTGAAACACTGGACCTGTCTCTTATACACATCTAGATGTGTATAAGAGACAGTATGTATACTGGTGGCTGCAGACACTTATGAATGTTTGTAAATTATAGGTAATGCTGATAATGACGGTGCCTCCCTCAGGTGATAACACAGGGTGCGAAGCCTTCTGTTANAGGTTACAGCCGAAAGTCTTCCGGATGGTAAACTGTTATGGTCAGAAATCGTTGATAGTTTGCCACTCCAGTTGTGTAGGTTTGGTGAACTATCAATGATGACATATGTATACTGGTTGCTGCAGACACTTATGAATGTTTGTAAATTATAGGTAATGCTGATAATGACGGTGCCTCCCTCAGGTGATAACACAGGGTGCGAAGCCTTCTGTTAATTTTTGCTGGACCTTATCCTCTGTAATGCAAATAAGGTCTTCGGATTCCTACGAGTTTGTACCAGACGCACCACTACCTACATATGAGCAGACCATAGAGAATGGATGGCTAGTTTAGAGTCTCACATGGGAAGAGTTATTTTTGTAATAACCTTTTGTGATAAGATTCGGATTAGTAAGTGATCAGATGCGATCGCATCGTCGTTTGTATCTAGCTCATTGTTTCTTTGCGGTACGAGGGTTTAAGCTACATTTATGACGAAATTTCTTAAACCTTTTTCGGTAAAATTATCTTTTATCGTGGTTGATAAGCTTGTGTACTTTTTTTTCTTTACGAATGAAATTTTAACCAATGAAATTTGTAAAAATTTTTATGTTACACGAAATTTTTTTCGAAAAAACAATAAAATCCTTGCAATAATTACCAATTATTTAATCAATAAAATGTAATTGACCCAATTTGCTTATATATGGTTAATATTTCGTGTCACAACGTTACACAATTGTACATAAAATAGATGCCGTTTTTTTCCATAGTTCTAATTCTTATTCATGGTTGATCGAAATTTTACAAAATTATTTTTTAAAATTAAAATTTTATTTTTATTAATTTACCATAAATATATAAAAAGATAACTGAAATTTGTATAAAATCCGAGTTGTAACGTTTTTTATCATTAACTTTATCCTGTAAAATACAAGAACCATACACTTTCAATAAATATATATTCGTAAATTGTAGTAATAAGAACCTTTAAAATCTAATCCGTTAGGATCTATATATTAAATAGTGTAATAATGGAAGATTAAAAAATTTGTTTAAACAAACGGTCAGTTCCTTTACGCACGAAAATGCGAAAAGTGCGTTGCATAGAAATTTAATTTTATTGAATAATAAAAAAATAAATATATAAAATATATAAAGATATCGTGAATCGTGAATCCTTTACAAGCTTTGAATGTATAACAATAAAAAGATATTATATACGTTATAACACAAAAAATATGGACGATAGTTCAATTATCATAATTGTTTCTAAAAGATTCATTCAAATCATCATCTGGTTGAAATTGAGATCGAGATATACGATTGTTATCAACATTCTGCATATTAACAGCAGGTCTAGTATTCAGTTGTGGTACTGCCATGAAAGAATAAGAATGTGCGTCATTACTGCGGCTTTTGTTTCTAAAATTTTGTTCATTTGGTTTCCGATAAGGACTCATTCTATTTACAATCCGATTTTTCGGTAAAGTTGAAGATCGAACATATTGAGTTCTTTGTTGGGTTTGATCATTTTGTAATTTAATAACAATTTCCAATTCAATTTTAAGAATTTGATTTTGAGAAGAATCAATCCTCTTCGAAATTTTTGGAATAGAAACTTTCGCGCTTGCATTATCATAATCGTGTTGTGTAGGTACAAAGTCATTTTGTTGAACATGTTCATCATGCTGCAAAGATGCTTGATGATATTGTAAATTGGAAGTAGAAATGGATTCTTGTATGTTACTATTTTGAACAGTAACATAATCACCAGTGGTATTCGACACGTTTTCATAATAAGGTTGTTGTAAAGAATTATCAATAAATTCAGAATTAGATTCGTGATCACTATTATTATCAATAAAAGTGTTAAAATGTAAAGACATTGTGTAGTATTTTTATTATGTTTATTAGAAAGGAAGATTGAACTAGGTAAAATTCTAATGGACACGTAGTGTATTTATATAAGTTTTTAATAAATACCCCTTAAATTTATAATTGTACAATTCCTGCAGTTTGTTTTGCTTTACAAGGTCGTACAATAAAATAAAATAAAATCTCTTACATTCATAAATAAATTTTTTAATTACAACAGTTATCACCTTTTTATATTATTTACATTAAAAAATTATATTTACATTAGTTCATTATATTTAATATTTTACTTTTTTATTTTACGATATTTATATAGTTTAGATACGAATATATAATATCCAAAACAGTAGTTGCATAAATATCATACTGTATAAAAAAATGCAATTTGAATCAAAATCAATCAAATTATGAAAAAACCTGCATCCTGATGAATTAATAAATTATTTCTATAACGAAAATATTGGTATCGCACAGAAAATTATAATAACAAGAGGATTAGGAGGAAGCTTTCAAAGCCTAAGGAGACAAACGATTACACCAAGTTACTTTCTAGTAAAGCAAGCAAAATTGAAGAAAATTGTTGATAACTTTAAGAATCTTCCAAAAAATAAAACCGACGATAAACTTTCTATGTTCCATGCCAAATTTTCTTTAAATGATGTTCCTTGTGAATTAGAGTATGATTTATCAATGTTCTATATAAGGTCGTACAAAATAATGGGATATTTTAAAATTGTTGAATTTTTATTTTTATTTTTCTTTATTTGTATTTGTATTTTATTTTATTTTTTACTGTGGACAATAAGGTTAATGACATTTTTACAAAGGAGTTTTGTAATTGTAACCAGAACTTTTCTTTAAGGTGATTTTTCTATTGAACTGTTTATTATTTATTATTATTATTATTTTTTTTTTGTAATATTTTATATATTTCAACGTGAATATACTAAAAACTTGGTTGCATAAAATCTTTATGGACCATTCAAAATCTCGACGATTATAAAAATCCAGAAACTTAATTATTTCTAACTCTCGTTATTAGTAGATATTCATTATCATACTTGTTATCCCAGACACATTATCTACAAAATATAATAATAATAATTTTTTATTTTTTGCAAAGTATTATATAAAGAATTAAAAAAATATTAATTGTTGCGGAAAAACTAATTTTTATAAATAATTAATAATAAATAAAAATTATTGATTTACAAAATTTTTACATATTAATTAAAAATCATTAACTGTACAATAAAAACAAACCATATTATTGCGAAATATTAAAAAAAGATAATGATAATATTAGAAATAATTAATTTTGAAGTTTCGGGATTATGATTCGTCAGGATTGTGCAATCGTCGAGATTTTGAATGGTCATATACAGTAATAAACAATAATATTGACTTTATGCAACCATTTTGTGATATAAAGGGCTTCAGTACATCCGCGTTTAAGCTATATAAAATATTATGTAAAATAAAAAAAAATAATAAACAGTTCATACATATACTGTATATACATATATTATGTAAATGTAATATATCTTCGGGTAATTTGGTAATTTGGTATATATGTTGTACATGTACTGTACATATATATATACATATATGATTAGCGTCACTCGAGATCATCAAAAGAGGCAAAGGGGCTTGTTTTGTTGGTTCCCGATTGGATGACTCTATAATATATTTTAATTAAACACTTATTTTATTCTTCCTTATGTATCTACTAAAGATTTCTTTGTTTATGATTGATTAATTTTTTGATGATCGACATACTGGACCGGATGTCGGGTTCAAAATTTTTACTTTGTCCCGAGTAATATGAAAACAGCTGTAACATTGTATATTTTATATCCGACAAAAAATTAATATGAATTTCGATATAATTTTACCATGTGTTTAATTATAGTTCATGAAATTTTAATATGAATCTTTGACTTTTATTCTTGATTATTTAAGATTGGTTCAAAAAAATTTTGATACTTTTTTATGTGAAACGGAAGGAAAAATTTCAAATTTATTCATTCGAAACTTTTTGATCATCAAATCAGATGATATCATTTTTACTTTTATTAATTATTTTAATTTATATAAAAAGTTGTTTATAAATGTATATAAATATATTTCATAATATTTATCTGAAAAAATTTTACACGTAAAATAAATATTTATTTGATAGAATCTTTAAAAATAAAAATCGTTGTTCTATTTAAATTCGTACAACTATAAAATCAAATTAAAATGCGAAATAAATTATTTCAATATTCCGGATCATCCGTAAACTATCCGAAATAAAAAAGAGATCAAGTCTTCGAAATAGTATTAGGGTAAGTATTATGACAGTAAGTATTAAGAAATCAGATATTCCCAAACAATAAACTTCAAATCAAATAAATCAAATACACCAAAATAATTAACGTATATATGATACAATTGATACATATGGTACATATATAAATAATTTCAATGATCTATATTCTTATATTGTGCTTCTGCGTGTATTGATTAAACGCCATTCAAAGTAAACAAAACGTAAATCAAGAAAAAATAAAACATAAAGTACTAGATCGGAAAGATACGATTGTAAAAGGGTAAAATCGGACGAAAGTATGCTACACGATAAGATTTTTAATCAAACAAGTAATTTCATTCGTTCTGATTTAATTCCTCTCCGGAAACAAACAAACGAGAAAAAAAAAATACCGTGTTTGAAATTCATTTCTCTTTCCTTTTAAAAGGGGCCAAATATTAACATTCCAACAAAATATTTGATCACAAAGGAATGGCTGAATTGCACTGTTGAAGTGAAACCTTAATAAGTTAATTTTGTGAAAAAAAAAAAATCTGGGATCTCCCTAATCATGGTCCCCTTCTTTTATGACATTCATTTGATCCTCATAAAACTCATCTTCCAGACATAAAAAGATCTACCAAATCCATTCAACAATGTTGCATTGGACTTCTTTTCTTGGAATTTTAATGATCTTGGCAGTTTTGTAATACTTAATTGTTATTTAAATGAAAAAGGAGAAAATAACTGATAAGTGCAATACTTTAATTAGTTAAACATATAAATATATTTAATTATTAATACTAACAGGTTTTACTTTGATTCTAAGTTTCTATAATGACTTTTATGGGTTTAGTTAAAAAGTAATATGACGACAATAACTTTTTTTCATATTTTTTACGAATATTATTATCAAAAATGGAGATTCAATAAAAAAATTTTGTCGTGTCGCTTGATCCCGAAAGATCCGTTTACATATTATAAGTTGGTCAGGTTAAATTTAAATAATTTATGTAATTTTATCATCAAGTTTCATGTTTCTTTTTTTTTTTTGGTTCGTAGTCCGTAAGTTGATTTCCGAAACGAAAGATGATCATCACTTTACAATTTTTTTTTTTTTATATAAAATTACAGAAAACTTTCCCCATTTTCCGGTGATCTTGCAGAACCAATAGGACCAATCCGTCAAAAACATTTATCTCATGATAAAAAAAATGCAACTTGGTCTCTTTTTTCTTAAAAAAAAAAGATTATATAAATATATATAATGATTATTTATTTATCTTTTTTTCGCTTAGAGATTTGCAGTCAACCAATAAAATGCATATTATTATACTAATAAGTAATAATTAGATTATCATATATTAAGGGTCGGATTCGGATTGTACCAAAAAAATTTTACGTCAGTCATATATAAAATAATCCAATAATAATAATAATAAATTATTTTTTTTATTTTCCTTATTATTTTTTTTTTATATTTCCTAATTAATAATCCTGATATATGAAGGATTCACAAATTGGTTCACAAATATGCAAAAAAAAAAACCGCTTAAAAGAATAACAATTTAATTAAGATCAACATTAAAAAATCATGTCTCATTTGAATTTACAATAAAAAAGGGAGAAAAATAAATAAATAAATTAATAGAGAAATCATATATACTATACAATGTTTTTAGCTTAGTTTAAATGTTTTTGTAATCATTTTTAAGCAAAAAAAAATTTTAAGCCTTGATTTATTATCAAATCTTATTGTCTAAAACTAATATTATTATTTAATTAGGATTTAGAAATCTTGTTCTATTTTAAAAGATCTATGGGATTAAAAAAAAAATGATTTTCATATGATTTAAAATACTTTTTTTTTTTTTTTAAAAAAAAAAAANTACACAGTGAAATTCGATAAACCGGATATTCGATAAACCGGATTTGGGCCTAAACCGGACTTTTTTGCTGGAACCAAATCACGTATATTAAAATAGGCTCGATATACCGGAGTTTACTAGTAAAAGCTCGATATTCGCTATAACGGATCAATTTTCTAACAAGCTATAGTAAAAATGATTCGATAAACCGGATCACGTGACTGGGAACCAATAAAATTTAAGTAACGTGATTCGGTAAATCTTAAATTTGGCCGGAATTATAAAAATCTTAATTCCGGCTGAAGTTAAGTATTACTTATATATTCAATGAAAATATTTTATATTCATTTTCATGACCTCTATAACTTAAAACTAGATGAAAAAATCAAATTATAGTGTATATTAGTTTTATTAGCATGAAAATTTTTTAAAAATTCAATATAATAGATTTTCAATATATCGAAATTTTTTCGCTAAACCGGATATCCCGATAAACCGGATATTTTTAGTGGAACCGATAGATCCGGTTTATCGAATTTCACTGTGTATGTATATTTAACGAAATCCTCCCATTAAGATATATTTTAGATTATTAAACTATTTAATCACTATAAAACAATGCTTATATCTTTTTAATCGATCCAATGTCAATTTTTTTTTGTTGTACACTTGTACAGCATCTTCAATAAAATGATTGATAAAATATTATAATATATATAATAATACCAATTTATCGGACATGATTTCAGTATAAATCCGCAATACACATAATCCGTTATTGGTTGTAGACTCTCTGTTTACTTTATTCATGTTTTAATTATTGGTATAAAATTTTGTGTAAATTAGTAATTTATTTCTACACAGCTAACGATAATAATTGGTTTCTTCAGCATTATTTTTATTCATCTCGTGATTAACTTTAGGTTTTCCAAAGTATACATTTAATGTAAAGATGACCAGGCATGATCATATGATCATGAGTTTTTTTTTTTTTTATTTTCACTTAAGAAAGGCAGATACATTAGAAAGATACGAAAGCATTATGCATAGAAAATATGATCATGAATATTGGTTTAACGATCCTGCAACTTAAAAAAGTCACATGACCGAATGGCAAATGTGATACCTTTGGGTAAATATTATACATTGTATAATAAGGTACACCAGGGCGGCGCTGTCCTCGGGCAGTTTGATTATAGCGTAGTTTAGATAGCGTTTGACTTTTTGTTTTATTAAGTTCTTGTCTATCTTTCTGTAATCTTGTTCACATGGATATTAAAAATAATTGTATAATAAGGTTCAAAAAAATCAAATAAGGGATAACGTGTAATGGCAATAGCTCATTTACATAATTCGAACTAATAACAACTGAAGCTGCATTTTAATCCACTTATTTTTTTTCTTATTCCAATGGATCTTTATAGAACAAACCACAAAAGTTTTCCTAGATAACCTAAATGTAGCGAAGGACTTTCTATTGTAGAGCACTTATAAGGATTAACCCATGAAATTTTCCTTCTGTCCATCCGTGACGTCACCTCACTACCCTAAGGCAAAAAGTTTTCAGTCACGTGACTGCATTTTTTTTCATCACAACCGTCACACCCCACCGCGTTTCCACTTTTTATATTTATCTGATGGACAGTTTTTCGAGTAAGTAAAAACTTATTTCTCACACCCTTATTCGTCACTTTCTATTTTCACGTGTTAGTGCATAACTGGCCAAAAGTCATGTGACTGAAACTTTTTTTCCATGGCTAGGGTATTTACTAATTACCCTGCTTTTTTCCTTACTGCTTATTTTATTTGGTGTTACGTATTTTATATTATGCTATTTTCGTAAAAATTTTTTTTTAATAAAAAGATACCGAGTAAATAAGCGCGACGGACTTTAACGGTTCTGTTTCCTAGTATTTATTTCAAGTTGGAATTTCGTTAATAATTTTATTGGGTTGTTTTTATATTTTCACACATTCAATATTTCTTTTTGGGTTAACTTTGATTGGTATCAATTTATTTAATTTTGTTAATCTTTGATTTTTGGGTTGGTTTTACTAATTTTCTTTGAGTGATTTTCATATTCTGGTTGGACTATTTTGTTGATTTTAGTTAAACATCTGTTTTTGGTCATACTTCAACTTTTCGTTAAAAATCTAAATTTGCGCATTTTGATTTATAATTCGTCCAAATCCACCTATGCTTATTCGAATACTCGAATATACTCGAGTTATTCGAATAACTGTTACATGATTCCAAACACTACTTCTTATATAAAAGCACTACATATAATTGAGCAAGTGTTTCGGATTTATTATTTGTCGTGATTGCGTTACCTCTGGTAATACATATATATTTAATGCGGAAAAATTAGAGTTCGGAACAAGAATCATCCCGGAACAGTGATCACTAGCTCAGAAGAATTTTGCTGAGCCACAATGCATGTACTCCGTGCGACAAAATAAGTGGGTCACAAGGCAAGTCTGTGCGACATAATAATTTTCGCATATAATCGAAAAGAAAACATGCTAACTACCTCTATTTTTTCCCCAAACAAACATGAGAAAAACGTAAAAGAAAGTCTATACGCAACACAGGACCTACCGTAAAAGTAAATATTAACGACAAAACCATATATTATGAAGGGCTGAGAGACTCAGCAATTTCGAGATCTACAAGAGCTAGCTATCTTTGAGTCTTGCAAAGGTAGATCTCTATGTGAAAAGGTACAAAGACTCCACTTGCATGTGCTTTCATCGATTTCTTGACATCAGACAACAACGCCTCATACCTTCTTATATTTTTCCAGCAAGATATAAAGCATGAGAGGACTCGTGGAAGTTCAGCCAACTTTCCCGCAAGATTATTTTTGCGTGATACAAATTTAAATATTCAAAGCCAAAAAGATGAGATGATCAATTGCAATCTCAATCAGCATTTCATGCTTTGTTTGTGATCATGGGTTGACATGTGATACTAATAAGATAAATATAAAGCAACAAGCAAAATGTGCACTGTCAACAAACGATGCTTACCGACTTCATAAATTTTAATTCCACTAAATACAACTCCCTCCCTGAGGTCAATGTTGCCTCTGGAATCTTACAACAACACTCTAACTTCGCCGAACTCCTTGGAAAAATCTATTCCCTTACCAATGCACATTCCATTGAATTGGGAGTTCGATTAATCCATCGTCATATGCAAGTAGACGAAGGGAAAGTCATGATCGAGAAATTCCAGTTCCACCAAAACGCACCGGCCTTCATCACCTCGGCTGATTTTCCAACTGACCAAGCTTATCCTGCGAGTTGGTTACTTGAGGACGATGGCAAATTGACAGTATTCGAGTATTCCACGGATATTTTGGTGAAGCGTACCCTCGAAAAACTTATCAAGGATCCAAGTATTTTCGTGGAGATGTGTGATTTAATCAGGGACTATCACTTTGAGAATTTACTTGCACCTTGTATCACCGCACGAGATTCATTGAAACATTTTGAAAAGGAAAACGGATTTATGGAGACGACTGATTTTAAATCCAATGCTAGTATTGTGAAGAATATGAAAGATTCTCAGATAGTGGATGATAAAAACGCAATTATTAATACCATGTGGGCGTATTCAGTGAGCGATAATTGCTTTGGAGGTGATAATCGTTGTGTTGGTCATTGTAATGCTAGTAATCATTGTAACTTCCATTGTAATAAAGATACTCATAGTTGAGCACGTGTTTCGGATTTATTATTTATCATGATTGCGTTACCTCAATTCTCGCTTACAAATTTTATTATATGCTTTATCCTAAAATTTTGTGATACTGGTTATCGTTTAATACTGTAATACTATCCGTAATAGTGGGGGTGGTCTACCAACAAAAAAGCTCGGACACGTGATATAAAGTGTGGCGTCTAAATTTTGATTGGTTGATCTTGTGTAACATTTAACTAATAAACATTCGCGAAAAAATTCACTAACTAAAATAAATTTTAAGTTTTAAATAGTTTTATTGTATTTTTATTGAATAATACTGTAAACAATACAGAAAAATTTTTACTTTATATATTTATGAAATAAAAAAATTTTTTTTCTGTTTTTAAAATTCCTTTGTATAACTGATAAAGTAAAGTTTGTGTTATTAATACAAAAAATGTCAAAATATATAAATATATAAATACTTTAATACTTGCTAAAACAAACTATAAAAATTTCAAAGAAACGTAAAATATTAATATTTATTGTTTATAATATACGTGATAAAAATAATAAAAAGAAATAAAATGTATGCAATATTTTGATGCGAGAAAATATTTTATATCGCATCTAACACAACCACATCACGGATCATGTGCCCGAGCTTTTTTTTGTTGGTTGCGCTGGGGAAGATACTTCAAGGTCATATTTTATTAGCATAGATGACATGTATCTGATGATACCACCACATTCTACGTACTGTATTTATCTTTATCTGCATTAATAAAAAATTTATTTTTACAATCATACATTTAATAAATCAAAGTAAAGCTTTTATCGTATTTTTGAGTTATACATGATAAAGAAGCCAGTTTATTATGTAAAATAAAGTGGGTAGTGGTCTAATGGTGTTTCAAGTGAGAAATTTGCCAGCCACTAAATCTTTCGCTAAGCACTTCACATTACTAACTTTTACTAATTTCGGCACTGCTATCACTACTAACTACCCTTTTCCCTTCTTTTTCAATCCATCGTATAATTTTATCCATCAAATGATAGAAGCAGTGGCTAATGTGCTAGAATATTCGCCACTCTAATTTCTTTTGCAATTAAAGTTCAACCTCCAGCTGGAAAAAAATTTGTAATTAGAGATAGATGGAGCGTTTGAATATATGCCAAATGATTTACAGTAAGTCATCGCCGACGTTGAAAATATGGAAGCTATTACTGGGTTTCTTGTTGACTTTAATTACTTGAAAAAAGGATTAAAAGAATTTGATCGTCGGTTGCAGAAATTGGGGATTGTTTGAAAGAAAATCACCTCGTAATTTAAGACTATGAAACTGAATATATAACCATTCCAGCCAAAACTAAGAGCAAGATTATAAGCTTGTATATGTCGTAAATATGGGAGCTTTCCTTATTATTTACCAGAATGTTGAAATTACCTGATAAAGCTAAAAAAGAAAATTTAATTACCGGCGTTGAACATACAGAAATATTGTTTGCATAGAAGACGTTGGTCCTCCCGTAAATTTTGATTATTTTTGATATTCCCTTTTAAAAAAAACACTTCAATATTTCTTTTTAATATAATTCTAATTAATATTAAATTTTTGTATAATAGCTTGTTTTATTGCATAATTATAGACAATACTCATGGACGATTAGTCTCTCCAGCCCAAATACCTTTTTTAAAAAAAATATCTTACCCAAAAAACGCTCGATCCTTACTTTTTGATATTTCCGTTAATATCGTTATTTCTAAGGTCACATACAATATATTTAAGTTAATTTATCCTAAAATAAACAAAATCATACGTGAAATACTGAAATATAAATCTTTTTAGATAGTTACTCGATCCTACACAATAATATAAAGAGAACATTAAATAAAATATTCAACCAAAAGAGTATATATTTTCACAATTGAGTCTACAGAGGATGCAGAGTATAATTTACTGGTTAATACTATATAATTATGCTAATTTTATGCAGTACTACAAAACTCTATAGTATAGTAACAAAATATAGTATTTTAATTAACTTATGATTGGCGCAGAGTTTACTTCATCATAATTGAATTTAAATCATCCGAAATTTGACCACTAACATTACAGTACTAATGTGCTGCCAAAATCTCATTCACGATCCCATAAATTATAAATTTCCCAAACAAAAAAAAAAATTCAAGTCTGATGATACTCTGAAACATATAAACCATTCCAAATAATATATATAAAAATTATATACAATTCTTGTAAATAAAATTAATTATAGACGTAATTTTTATAAAAGTCCTAAATTATCGAATCCAAAAATTCTATAATTCTTTTTTTAGCACAGTACAATGGTTTTATAATTTATAAAACATTATTTTTTCTATTTTGTCAATATTTTATTTACTTATCAATATTTCAAGCTTGTTTGTATTTCGTATCATATCTAGGACATAGTAACGATAATACTTAAAAAGGCTGCGCCCCTCAACTTTATTACTTATTATATATTACAATTTATACATTATCCTCATATAATATATTCACTTATACTGAAAAAGTAATATGTAATATGGCAGAAATCGATAATCGTCGAAATATAACGTAATAATATCGACTTTTTCGTTACATCTATAATTATTAAAAAGTGCTACCGAAAAAAAATTTTTTAACGCCATTTATACCAATTTTGTTATATAATAAAAAAAGAATATAAATTAAATATTATACGTATGTAAAAGTAACATGTCAATTTTTTTTTCAATCCTTTTTCCTTCTTTTTTTCATTCATCTCATTCATCACGTATAATTCGGAAAAATAAAGATAAATATAAAAAGCAACCTGAATGTCGTAAATTCTCGCATTGACGTTAATAATATTCCTAATTCATTCATTCACATTACTATTATTTCGCACGCAAGATATTAATTATTAATTTTTCTTTATTTTTTTTTATTAAGAAATTCAATCTAACATATTACAGATATCTCATTTTATTATCATGTACATTTTAGATCGGGAAAGATTTTTTTTTTTTGATTTACCAAACTTTAAGTTTGTATTGATTTATCAAACTTTATATAATTAGCCAGGAGATAAGTAATACGTACGTCTTAGCGAAATTTAAAGTACTGTATTGTATCATTTACCCCAGTATCACCGTCACTTTTCTACCCCCACGTGATTTTTTGTGGCGCATCAGCCTCATTTGCTTTTTTGCGTAACATTTATCTTAGAAAAATTTTAATTGCAAAATTTTTCACTTCTCGCACTTTTAAAATATTAAAAAATTAAATTTTCATACTTAAATTTAAAGTATAAAAAATATTGATTTCTTGCTCTTAGAATTTGTTTTTAAATTTAATAAAAAAATTATTTGATAAGTTCGTTTGATTTTTACTTGGAAATTTATGTCTGCTTATTTATTAATAAAATAAAACGCGTAACCCATAAAATAAATATAATAAATAACACCTAAATAAATATAAAAACGCGCGTCTCCTATGTCTCCTGATAGATATAATAAAGCAAATACAATAAATAACACCGTATCTACTAATAAAATAAATATAATAAATAACACCTAAATAAATATAAAAACGCGTCTTCTCCTAACTCTTAACTCTCCTAATAAATATAATAAAACAAGTATGATAAATAACCTAAATAAATATATAAACGCGCGCGTTGCCTAAAGAGATTTAAAAAATGTATAATGCACTTATATTGTTACAAAGTATAATTATAACTCCACAAATATGTAAAATAATTCAATAAAAATAATTATTTGAGTAATGCTATACTTGTTAAGACTTTATTTAGCCTTCAAAGAATGACCAAAGTACCAAAATTACACTCTAATCTTTGTATAAAAAAGATAAACAAACAAAATAAAAAACAGTTAATATAGTAGTTAAAAATAAACCAACAATAAATTTTATACTTAAATAATTATTTAAACTCGATATTTACAGCTTTTTATAAAATTTTTGTCTGACATTAAAGAAAGAAAGAGAAAAAAGAAGAAAGAAGTTACGAAAGTTACAAAATCACTGTTGTAAATAAATAAATCAATGAGGCTGATGTGGCACAAAATCACGTGGGGGTAGAAAAGTGTGGGTTTGTATCCCAAGTTACACGTGTAGCTGATCACACGGCAGGTCTGTGCGACAGTGGAATTTCTCACATATACCCTACCTCAGTATTTTTCGCAAATAAAAATTTTATCATAATTGTCCTATGTCTATTACTTTAGTACTTTACTCGTCAAAGGGAATACAACCGCGAACGCTTTTCCTGTCGATATAGAGAAGTACCAACTTGTTGGCCTCATACCCAGCTGCGGTTGATACTATTTCCCAATTGAATAAAATCTATTTTGAAAGCTCAACACCATCAAGAAATTTTGGGACACCTCCAAAATCAAATAAGTTTGAGACACTGTCAATTGGATTTTCTCTGTGTTATAATGCTTTTAATAACCGATTCAATATGCCTTAAAAGCACCAGTGTCAACCACCACTTCGAGCCGTGAACAGGAATTACTTGAGGAAGTCGTCTCATTGCAGGAATTACTTAACAAATCTGTCCATGGTACGTGTAAATTTTAGGTTATACCGGCTGGTCGTTTCCTCGGGGAAACAGTTTGGTTATGAAATTTTTTCTAAACCGTCTTCGCATTACAGACTCCGATGTTGTTGTTAGCCCAAGATGTAATTGAAAATGATAGAGTAATAATTGTTATTATATTATTTATGCTGAAAGTCGGAGCGGTATTCAACATGTTAAACGACAGCGGAAAATACTCACCTCAAACTAATCAAGACCTTTGCGAAATGCTTCAGCTTCAAGTTTACTGTATTCATCGAACGTCCGAATAGGTAACAAATTCTTTTTTTTTTAGAATTACCTAGTTACGCGCCCCGCCCATGTTGTGGCAAGCCAGAAAAAACGGTTCAGTTTGAAGGTGATTTATGTGGAATAAGTTACTTAGCTATATCTCGTCGATAAATTTTGTATATATAGTAAAAAAATGGAGCGGGAAGTATGTATATTAAATGTATATTAAATGTATATTATTCTGTTTATTTGTAAATTTAATATTTTGTCTATTATATTGTTGATAGAAACAGATACGTTCTAAGATGATGCGAAAACGTTTTTCATAAGATGAAAGAGCGCAATTTTGATTTTAAAGACAACAACGAATCCAACCAACCCTATAAAAACTCTGATGAATGATCATTTTTATAGTTTTTATTCCGAAGAAACTCAGACACATGATCATTTTCCGAAAAACTTTTATAGGGCAATCGAACCGT